TCCCATAATAATATAGAAGACATCGTCGTCAAATAATTTTAGTTCATTAAATAAAATGTTTAATTCATCGTGAAAAATGTTACCGCGATTATAAGCATTCGTAGCATTGATGCTAATGATAAATAATGTTTTGGAGTTTAATGTTTTTATTTTAATAATAGTGTACTCCAGTATTAAATTATTAAGAGAACTCGGGTAATTAATCGTTGTGAATTTTATATCATTACGAATAATTATTGCCGTTCCTCCTGAGAATTTAGAATTATTCCTATCATTTATAATTATATTGTAGTTATCAAATTTTATTTTGTGATTTTTATTCAATTTTGTCTCACACACTCTAAAGAAAAAAACTTTTGTCTAGTACCAGTTACTCAACTTGAGTCCAAAAATCACTTCTCCCGAGGACAACATTTTACTTGGGAAAAGATAATTTTTTCACTTCCTGAGAGTCAGGAATGAATTGGGTTCTAGTTATTTTCTCCAAGTTTTCTATAAACTTTTGAACAGTACCGATTTCACTTGTATCAAGTGCCCGAAAACACTTTTCCTGGGTACCGGAAAAAACTTGGTCCAAGTGTGTTTTGTACTTCTCAAAAGTACCAAAAACACTCAAATCCAGTACCCGCCGATTCTCTTCAGGAATTACTACAGAACAGAAGTGTATGCCGAATATCATATTTTCCCTATCAGCCATGAACTTTCTCTGCCNACACTCAAATCCAGTACCCGCCGATTCTCTTCAGGAATTACTACAGAACAGAAGTGTATGTCGAATATCATATTTTCCCTATCAGCCATGACCTTTCTCTGCCGATTAGACAATGAAACCACTCAACTTGAATTTCAATAGGACAAGATAAACTTTTATCACTGGGGAACTCATCAATTCTTTCCTGGCGCCAGTGGCATTTAGCATGTTTATTTAAATAACTATCCTCACGTGCAGGGAGACAGTGCTTGGCTTTCAGTTCGTAATCACTTTTTTCGTCAGTTTGATTCATTATTTCATCATTGGTTACTTAATTATGAAATAATTTAGAGAATTGAAAAATAACTGAGAAATTTTCTCTCTCTCCTCATAGGGATTTTCCTTCCAGAATAAACATATTTACACGTTGAGTAGTTGATGACAAGTCTTTTCTTGTATTTATTATTATTTGGACATGAATTATCTCTGTAATTGGCTCAGATACATGTTTGGGAATTTTGACATGTAGGTACATTATACATTATTTTCTTATTAATCTAGAATTATTTACATTGATTCTCACGTTCAGGGTGTTTTTTCGATTGGTTCATGTATTTCTTAAAGCTACGATTTGTGGAACATATTATTACATTGATTACTCCGTTTCTGGCTTTAGATTTTCCCTGTACGCACGAATAATCTTAGGCTTATATACACACAAATTTAATTATGGTTTTCTCACTTGGACCATTTGGAAGACAATAAATATTTCAACACAGTATAGAAGAGTGACAAAATATTCAAAAATTCATCTGTCATCAAATAGCTAAAAATATTCGAAAATTCCCTCAACCTTTCTTGGATAGTAGATTTCAATATTAAAGAATACTATACAGGAAAATATCAGTTGAAATTTTCCTTTAAAAATTTCATCAGCTACAAAAAGGATTAAATGATTAATTTTAAAATAGCAGGTAGGATGACAAAGAAAAAATATGAGCAAAAGATAAAAAATGGAATGATTGATTCATTCTTCGGAGGGTTATCTTTCTGAGTCATGAATCCATGACTACTTTAGGGCTGGTACGTTCTCATATATTATGACGAATAGTAATGTAATACTTCCCATCACTTGCTAATCGTACAATCGTCGGAACATGTGTTATCAATTTAGTATAGCTTATACATGCCCATGTTTGGGTTAATGTGACTTGATATGCATTAATATAGGAATTGAATTTTTCTACTAAATGTTTTCTCACCAAAAAATGCACAGTTCGCGTTCTCGGGAGAAAGAGAATGAAAATGATTTCACCGAATACTGGAAATACTTCACCAAGATCAATCACAACGACTGATCCATCAGAATATCTAGTGCTTTTAATCTGAATCCAGGGAATAATTGGAGATCTTTTTAGTTCGGGGGATAGAAGGTGACGAAACTCTGTGTAATGTTCCAACTCTAGAACGGACGTCGATTTCGGTTTTGGCATTTGCAATCGCGTAACAAGTCCCTCATTTTACAGTAAACGAAAGCATAATTTCATCTGATTCCTCTCAGTCATGGTGAGAGGAAGATTCTTCCGATTGTAAGATATCCGAGCGTTTTCTCGGTAATCTTTATGCTTAGACTCATAGCGATAACATGTGAGCCGTGAAAGAGGACCTACGTTTAATATTACACGAATGGCATGTAAAAAGTGGTGCAGTTTTGGTGTTATGGGCCATTGGGGAAAGCAACGCAGATGTATTTCGAGGAAATAATTGATGAGATGTTGAAGATAAGGTAACAGTTCAATATTAATCTTGAGAGCTATTATGATACCTATTATTTTGATGAACACTTGGTACAATTCCCAAATATCTTCATCTTCATCAAGGTTAATGATGGCAATTATGATCAACCCAAAATATCGTATGAGACAAACACACTCGGCTGCCGACAGTGGTAGTTTTCCTGCCTCAACATGGTGGGCAGATATTTCAGAGGGCTTATTACTAGTTTCGTAGCGGCCATAATGGAAACTCTGAGTTCTGCTATTCAACATCTCATAAGTCAATCGTTTTCTTATGATCAATACTCCAATAATCCCTGCCATTACGCTCTTACCAGCCCCCAATTCAATTTCATGCATTAAATCGAATGCATAATTTTCCACGCAATGGAAAGATTTAAGGCCATTCCAGATAGACTCCCCCCCTTTGATTCCGGTAGCAGAAACATTGTCAATAGCAACGTCATCGGCGTAATTCCCTCGATTCCGGAGTAAATGTTCATTTTCAGAAATTTGAGTAATCATGTCTTTACGATTTACCCTACAAATTCGACAAGGAAAATTAGCTGTAAATCCTTCCACGAACGCTAGCATGGAATGAATTGCTAGATTATCTCCTACTATGAGAATCAGTGCAAAATAAACTCGCTGACTTTCATAATCGTCGTTTACGACTTCTATTCCTTCCTCTTCTAAAAATTTAAATTCATTAAATAATTGAGCATATAAATCCATATTCGTAACGTTAATTTTATCATTGGTATAAAAAATAAATGCTGTGAAAATATTTTCCAGAGCACTTTGAAATTCTGGAGGTAGTGAGGGTATAGTATAATAAATTGCACTAATCTTCCCGTCCGATGTATGAGTACCGAAGTCTTCTGTTTGCAAGTCATCATAATATAAAATTAATGGCAAAACAGTCTTGCCTTCGAAGATCGGTACAATTTTTTCCTTCCAAAGTTGACCCTGAACGATATTTTCAATAATAATAGTCTCACTCTTCTTTAGAATATCCATATAGTCCAGAATGTTTTTAAGGACTCCTGGCATTTCTAAAAAAGCCTTTAAAACAGCTCTCATCGGTATGAACCGCCCCACTTTATTGACTGGGTCCATAATCAGTTGACCACTCTTTTCCTTTTCTCTATAACCCTGCCCTAAAACGCTTGGGATGGAGGGGATGTAGGCACCCGTTCGTTTAAAACACTCTATTCTTTTGTATTCTGTTTCTAATCCACTGTACATGNAGTATGAACCACCCCACTTTATTGGCTGGGTCCATAATCAGTTGACCACTCTTTTCCTTTTCTCTATAACCCTGCCCTAAAACGCTTGGGATGGAGGGGATGTAAGCACCCGTTCGTTTAAAACACTCTATTCTTTTGTATTCTGTTTCTAATCCACTGTACATGTTTTGGTATTGATTGAACGACAGGACGTTTTGAATTAAACCTTTTTCTTTCTTATTTGGAATGAATATTTCCAATAGAGCTTCCACCTTATTCTTCAATGTTTCGAACAAGCCTCCATTTAATAATTTATTATGATGATCAACAAAAAATTGGATTCGTTTTCTACTCAGAGAATCATCGGCGTACAGTGGCGCTAAAATTTTTATAACGGAATCGGTTATTTCCCTCTGGAAGCTTGTCGTATCATGCGAATATCGACAATCTTCTAACGACTCCATTTTCAATTGTGAATGAAGGAAAATTCGATGTTCCTGATATTGATTATGATATTATGATTCTATGATTATCACTCATGAGGTATTGTGTCGTTCTACGATTTTAAATGGAGAAAGATGAGAAAAAATCCTATGGTGTTTCAATTTGTCAGGTACCTCAGTATTCGTCAGAGATTTACCTTCGGCAATTATTCGATCATAATCACACATAAAGGAATAAAACAAAAATGACAAATTAACAGACAATATACCCTAATGCATAATTTATACAACGTATTTCTGAGAGTTTTTCTCGCTATTATTGGGATCTTATTGGCTCACTCTTAATACTAATTCTTTCGATGGACCACTGATGTTTGAATTATGCTATCTATCATCTATTCTATCTCATAATTTTTGTTTTTAATCAATAAGGCCTCTCAATATCACGCAGAGTTATTCTAGAGATTCGTGACTAGACTTCGTGAATCTCCTGATCACAGTTATACGTATAAAAAAAAATTGACAAATTAATAGAGAATATACCTTAATGCATTAGTTACACACTGTATTACTGAGAGCATTTCTCGCTATTATTGGGATCTTATTGGCTCACTTTCAATACTAATTCTTTCGATGGACCACCGATGTTTAAATTATGCTATTTATCATCTATTTTATCTCATAATTTTTGTTCCAAATTAAGAAGGAAGGCCCCTCAAGATTTCTCAGAGTTATACTTGAGACCTATGATTAGACTAGAAAAATGAAATTCAACGAAAAATATGTTATATAATCCCTTACGTACCACGTCCTTTCCTTAACTCACTCTGGGCTCACTGATAATATCAACACTGCCAATCATTCATTTGTTCTTTGGACGTTTTACCTTCTTTGGGTTGTTATTTGAATTCGTCCTCCTCTTCTTTGATTTTACCTCTGTCCCCAATTCTGCCTCACTGGAAGACTCGTGAAGGGCGATGGAAAGGGCAGCGAGCTTTCCTTTAGGTGTCTGTAAATCTTCAGTGTCAATACTGTAGACTTCTCGCTGGATGAATTTCCAAATATCGCTGCACTGAACGGGGTACTATGTGTTGAATATGAAAAAGCTCTTGAAGCACAGATCAATGCACTCGCTCATAGACGTGACACGATAGAAAAAATCGTCGATAATAACATAGAATGCTGTGGCGTGGGTACGATTTGGGCCAATAAACTTCATGTACGGTTGCACTGCTGTTTTGCTCTTGAGTGCAATTGCCTTCCTTTTTGCAATGACTTCTACAAATTGTGATGGAGCCTGAAAATCACTATCGATTAAAAAATGAAAAAAAAACTAAATTAATAAATTTTTCATTTTTTTTTTTGGTTAATGCATGAAGCATCCAAGCCTGAACATAACAAGGAGGTGGTGATAAATGAGTCATTTTTCATTAAAATTAATTTTTGCCGAATATGTCAGAATCCAAACGAAATTTCCCAGATCCTTGTCATAGTTTTTTTTTCTATTGAAAATCCTTGTAATAGTTCTTGGAAAAATCCTTTCAGCTCTGTTAGATTCAAAAATATTCAGCAAAAACGCAACTCGAAATTATGTTGACTCATCTCATTTGAATCTTTGTCAATTTTCTATTTTATTCACTTCGAGAAAGACTATTCTTGATTCAAGAATATGTTGTAAGAACAGAAGGTTCTTGAAACATTGAAACACAATTTTTTAAGTAGAACTCAAAATATTACGATTTTCGAATCGAGTAATGAATATTTTAGAATATTGAATACACAAAAAAAAATTTGAAGAAGGATTTCTCTTTCGTGAGAGCTAGTGGATGAAATTTTTTGGATAAATATTTTACCCACAGTTAGGTAATCGAGAAAACAGTCTCTTGCGTGAGTTATCTTCAATTTAGTGTTTCCTTCATTCACATTCTTGGTACTCTTCCCTGGTAGCAGTACTGGCAACAATTGACAAAGTAGCAGATCTTGAGTTTCTTGAAAAAAATGTGGCGAGAATGAATTTTGATATCTCAATATTTGGTGGAAACATTCTCCATTCACGGCGAAAATGGGAATGCGATGAATCCACAGCATAATTACGTATTATTTCAAAAGTATTTTTAAAATGAATTAAAATACCATGAGAAATTGAATCAGTTAATTCGTTCACTAATTCTTTCCCTATGGGGTCAGATAGCGTTGTTGCTCTGAGAATATTGACTATTTTTGTAGCAAAAACATCCCATTCATCATAGAGGACGTCTAATTTCTTGGGGTATAAATGGTCAAAGTCGATGTCCACCTACGGATATGATTTGAATGAGGAATTTAGTCATTTATTTGAAAAAAAAAGAATTTTATAAATACAATTTTCTACCAGAGGAGCCGCATTCGGTAGCCGAATAACTCTGTATTTATTTGTGTATTCGGCGACAGTTCCATTTGTGTTTTTTAATTTTCTAAGTCTTGGACCACTTGTTCTTCGCCAATGTGGGGTCAATTCCTGGAGAAACTCCCAAGTTTTTTCCAAAATGGCCAAACTGTCCAATTGGTCTTTTGATGCTTCTTCTGAAAACAGAATAGTATCAATAGTAATAATAATAAGTATAATTATAACAATAATGATAATAGTAAGAGTAATAATAGAGAATTATTCAGCAGTGAAGTGTTCAGATACCGTCCAGTAAATTGGTAATTTTCGTTATTCATATATTTAGCTCGATAAAAAGTAACACTTCCTCAAAGAATCACTCAGGACTGACATAATTTTACGTTCAATAAGATGTATGAAATCAAATTATCACACTGTGCAACGTTATCTCACCATACGTAAGAACTATTTAGAACCGGAGTTATAATGATGTGAGAATTATATGAATTATAATAGTAATATTTAAAAAAATAATAACCTCCTTCGACGTCATAATGATCAATCACCGATATTGGTTCCTCCTTCGCCGGGGGTAGCAAGTACTTTTCCCTCAACTTCTCTCTCAAGTTTCTCATTCCATCGAACAATTTTCCACTCGCTCTGCCCTTGCCCTCAGGATCTTCAGTAGAAGCAACATAAAATATCAATTGCTGAAAACAATCAAGAAGAGCAAATTCATATATCCATAATTATATATTCATAATTCAGTAAGAAAGTGGTCAGACGTTACAAATCCATTTCTACCATCATCTCATTGAATTGCGAATTATCTTGGTTATCAATGAATTTAGAGAAAAATGTTAACAGACTTTTTCTAATCCTGGAAAAAAAAATCTCTCATCATAGAAAAAAAATCCTCGTGATATACTTGAATGAAATCAATTGTTCTCAAGACGCACAAATAATTACTAGAATGTTGAATACAATGAATCATACTTAACCACTTTGTTATTAAATTCATTTTTAGTAATTACCATGAATTTGTTTGCTTTCCCTGTTGTGGTAAATTTGTTGGCAATTTTTTTACGAACAGTGATGAAATGGTCTTTTGAAGGGCTAATGTTGAAGACAAATATATGGATTAAGATTTTAGGTTTTGAAAATGGTAAGAAAAAATGTAAATAACACTCACAAGGCAGTTAGGAGCATCAACCAGTCACAAAGGATCTCGGTTATGTCCTTATATTCACCACTTCCTAGTTGCTGCGTATGTCTATACATACTCAAGACACTTTTCCCTTTCGCAGATTGGTCTAGTAGCTTGATTAAATCCTATGAATAGAGATAAATCAATGAAAACTTCAATTTTATGAATCCCTTGAATTTAAACTTACCAATTCATGAACCCTGGCATTCACTATACCCTGCTCTATCCTCGTAGAATGAAGGTAACCTGTGTCAACTTGCCGCCTGCTGGCCTAAAAATTTTATTCCATCGAGTTAAAGATATTTTGGATCTTAAGAAGTTTCAGGAAATTCATGGAGATAATTTTTTGATCCTTACGTGCACAGTCGAAGAACTCAAAGACTCATCAGGTGTAGCGCTGGTGGACGGTACTGGCTCGATGGTAACATCTGCCAACTCTTCAAGAGTGGTTTCACCTGTGGGTTTTGTCTTATTCCTATTATTGGTGGTCTGTTTTTCACTGAATCGATTCACAGACTTTTCATCACTATTTTCATCTTCAGATACTTGTGGAATTTTCGTCTTGGTGGTCTGTTCTTCACTGATTCCATTTGTAGACTTTTCACGACTGTTATTGTCTTCAGATTCTTTTTGAATTTTCGTCTAATAATTTAATTCAGGTATATATATGTATATATTTCAAATCAACTGCCTCCATTTTTTTCATTTTTATCATTGAATACTGACCTGGGACAAGTTTTGACTTAAAGCTAAAATGTCGTCGTCCTCCTCGTTATTCTTCGATGTTGTCTCGGAATCTGAATTTTTGAAATTCTCGTATTTTTTCTTGAACTTGATCGTCAATCCTTTCTTGATGATAAGATCATCAATGTCCTTCTCTCTTAATGCAATGAACACCTCATCATCCACTTCTTCATCTAGAGGATGAAGTATTAGGATAGGCAGCTAATAACAATTTTTGAGTTTTCAACATGAAAGATAAAATGAAACAATAAAAGTTTTTCTGTAAAACATTACTTACCATCAAAAAGGGGTATTAAACCCTCCAATTCCCACTTTGTGAGTAAATCTTCAACAAGAGTATAATTATTGTGTGGAGGAGAAGTCATTGCAGAAATAATAATTCACAACACTTCAATTCAACACGTTGGAGCATGTTCAAACATGTTTACTAACAAAGCCGGCAGAGAAGAGGAGGGAGGAGACTGTGACGACATGCCAGTGCCACCTGGCATGTTCAAAGCAAATGCAGCAAAGGTCATTGCCCCATCGGATGAGACTATTAAAATCTCTGTCGGTATTATAGTGACATAGTAACTAGTGCCTTTGTTCGAAGGCGCCCGAGTCAAATATTTTCATCTGAAAAATCCTGAAGAGTCCTGCTGATTTTAGAACTTTTCAGGACTTTGAGGGGATTAAAAAGTGTAAGATACGTTTCCGTTCCCATTATACACAAGACATTGGATCAATTGAGTGAAAAACAAAAACGTCGACAATTGAGTGTGTTGTTGGGGAGGCATGAAGAATTGCTTCGACATAATGATAATGAAGATGATGATGATGAAGATGATGATCATGATGATGATGATCATGATGATGATCAGGCCAATCGTGATGTTAAATGCGATAAGAATGAGTCCAACGCGAACAGGGCGAAGTAAAAAATATCACAGTGGAGTAAAACACATACTATCAAATGAGTAATTGAAGGTACTGAAGAGAAGTGAAAAAATACTCGCGAAAGTGCGAAAATCACTTGGAACAAGTGTTGCGACACAAACAGTCATTTTATTCATTTAATTTGTCATTTTGTACGTCTATTATATTGTTTGTTTTTAAAAATATTTCTAAAGGCATATTTTCTAAAATATTTCTTAGACTAGTCAAGTAAGAACTTTTATTTTTTCTTTTGTACAAAGATTTCTTTTAATACGTAGAACTCTCAAAAACTGAAAACCAGACAGTAAACACGAAAACGAGTTCAATATATTTTTCTCTCTTACAAAGACACCATTCAACTTGACGAGAAATGTAACAGTTTATTTCACCACAGTCAGGTCCTTCAGACCTTTTGTTACTTTGATGACAAACACATGTTGGAAAACTGTCTGGACCCATGGGCCTTCGCCACACTGCGAAGTATCCCTACTCCTACATTTCTCTTTCTCTCTCTTTTTCTCCTTTTCCGGTGCATTTTTGTCAATGCTCTCTTTTCAACTTATATGAAAAACAAAACCTTTATTCAGCCAAGAAAATCGTCCACTAGTTGACGACAGTAACCGAGCAACCGCGATGAAGAACACTTCTCCGGGTATCCAATTTTTGTTTACAGTCAAAATATCTCAAATCCGAATTTAAGTCAATTTGTTAATCAAACTATTTTTTAAAACAATATATTTAGTGACCTTTGATTATTAGTGTTAAGTAGAATGTATGACGATTATTTTGGATTATCAGTGTTTTTTATCAAATGGAGAAACTAAGTGAAAAATTTTTGCATTTAATCTAAAAATAAAAAAAAACATTATTTGAGTGAATTGAAATCAGTGTCTCAAGTTTTTTCTTAATTAAAATTCCCCTTCATATCAGACTCACCTTCGGTTTAAGAAAATTTGGGATAAACAACAAGTATCAGCGAAAACTTTTGAAAAGTGCCGAAAAACACTGACAGGAAGTGATAATTTCACTTTGTCTTAGTTTTTAGTTTACTTGACCGCTAGAAGCAACACTTCTCATAAGGACTTCGAACTTACTTGGAACAAGTGATTTTCAGACTTTTCAAAAGTAAACTTGCTCCAAGTACTATCAGATACTTTTCAATAGTACTTTTTTTTAGAGTGCAGATTAGAGCCACATCGATATTATTTTTATCTAGGAATGTTTGAAGATAATATCGTCTTTGTTGTCTAACAAGTGAATTAACATTAATTGACATCATATTAAGGCCTTGTATTATTAATGAATTATCTGTATCATCGTTATTTGGAGTAGTCTTAATTCTCGCCGATACCATTGAGACCAAGGTGTTTAAGAATTAATTCAATATTTTTTTTGTTTGTCTCCACTTGTTCTGTGACTTGATTAAGATTCTTTGTAATAGCAGAGACAATGTCGTTTTGAAGTCGAGTCGCCCAAGCAGGGGGATCTCCTCAACAACGGGATGCCTCAATCGATTACTCTCATTACTGTAAATTTTATCTACTTGAGGAGTTTTCTTCTGTGCTTGATTCTTATTTTGTTTATTTATTTGAGACTCGATACGATTTTTAACTCTAACTGTGTCCGCAAATGAGACACCAGGAGTGATCCTGTTGTTAATTATTTCAATTTTATCATTTTGTTTCTTTTTCAGTTTCTGATGATTCTCTTCAATAAATTCAAAAGCGCTTTTATAGTATGGGCAACCTTTGTAATTGGCTGGGTGTCCATTTAGTTTGCAATTAGCACACTTTAACAAATTTCTGTCGGAATCTTTAGAACGAGTACATTCACCGGGTTTGTGATTATTGCTATATTTAACACAACAAAAAGAAGAACAATTAGCACTCGAGTGACCTAGTCTCTGGCATTTCTTGCATTGAAAAAGACTATCCCTTCGAAGGGGTTCCCAGCGCACCCTTTGGTAAAGGAGTACTTTTAATTTTGTTAATTCTGTTAAGATCGAGTTTCTAGTTGCTTGAATTAAATATCCAAAATAATTTGTTTTTTTTATTGAATACTATTCTCGTAACTTTTAAAATCTCTACAGTCTTCAATTTCTCATCTTTAGGAGTATACGTGTAGAATTCAATTTTCTCTTTTTTGAGTAATTCCTTAAACGCATTAAAAATCATAATATCTTTCGGATGAATTGTTACATAAGATGAATCTTTTGGCTGGTTTAAGTGAAATTTATTCTTTACCTCGTCACCCGAGTTGAGTAGTAATGTTGCCATTTCCTTCAAGGATTTTCCAATAGTATGGATGGGGGGAGGTCTGTGTCCGCCAGCACTTTATGTAGTTTGTTGACTTCGGGTGTCCGTTGGATTGTCCTGTAGTTCTGTCTCACTCTCGCTGCCGCCTTCGTCCAACTCCAGTGCTCTATATCTGTTATTGTCCCCAATGTTAGGGGGGAGAGGTCTGTTTTTAGCTCGGTGATGTTTTCCTTCTCGATGGTAAATCCCAGGCCTTTGAGTTCTCGGTATCCGAATGAGAATTTTGAGTTGATGTAGTGGGATTTTGAACTTTCTGCTTTCCATATAGTGCTTTAACTTCGTTAAATTCTTTGAGTAGACTTGCATCAGTAATATTTGGTTTAATTAGCTTGCCAGGATGTCCAGGTGTACAGTTTGAACTCCCGTTGGTATTTTTCCTTTTCCTCTGAGAAGAATCGGGTAATGGAGGGACTCCACGGCCTCGGCCACGTGCGCTCATTGTATGATGTTAGAAGTTAACTTTTTCACTTAATATGAGTACTACGGCAGTACGCTGAAGCACTATAAGGTTTTTGGGCTAAACTATCTATGTGTTTTTTCTTGTATTAAGCACATAAGATAATAACAGCACAATTACTGTGCTGAAGTTATTGCTGTATTCTTTGGTGCAGGGAGATATATTGGAGCAGCACTGGTATATTAGTGCTTCCGAACTCTCTCGCTGCTAACAGCAGACTGTTCTGTACCCTATCCACTGGTCCACCGTATCATTCTTGAAAATAGCTATTCGTTTTGTGTATATCAATAATATTCCCAATAAAATTATAGTATTGAACTAAATCGATAATAATATCAATTAGTCTAATTTTTCTGATAATCATCCCCCCTCCCATCAGGTTCGCCTTATTGAACTTATAAAATTTTCTAAGTTAAGAATTTCCTGCCTACCTTACTCGGTCCTGATCATGGCCGGTTCGAGTTGGCCGTTTCCGATATACTCAACGAGCACTCGTGTTCAATCATGGCAGACTGAAAAAGACCCTGAAATTGCCCTTATCAGACATGCCGGATGGAACTTTAAATTTTTTCTATCACGGTATGCTCAAAAGGCCATGGCTTGGGCATGATCAGGCAGGCCTGCTTGAACTTTAGAATTTATTGGTAATGTAAATATGCAATGGTCCCGTTCAGGCCCTGATCTGACAGGCCGTAATCAGGAATACCGTATTTATACTAGAGCAGGGCCTTTTCTGCCAAAAGGCCTGTCTGATAAGATTTCTACTCCAATAGTTTCGGAGATTTCCTTGAAAAACCCCCCCCCCCCCCACTCAGCCACGAATTTTTTTCAGTAAACATTCGCTATCTCCCTTATTTTCGGAGATATCATTAAAAAACTCCTCGCCTTCCCCCCCCCCACATTTTCATTGAAAAATCGCTATCACTTTAAAATTTGGACCCTTACGTTTTGACTTTTACATTCAGACTCTTATATTTTAACTCTTAGTATGAGGGTGAAATCTAAAGGTCAAAATCGAAGTGTCAAAATTTAATGGTCAAAACTTAAGGATTAAAATGTAAGGGTCAAAATTGTCAGGTCAAAATCTAAGGATCAAAATATAGGGGCCAAAATCTAAGGATCTAAATATAAGGGTTTAAATATAAGGGTTAAAATGTAAGCGTCAAAATATAGAGGTCAAAATATAAGCGTCAAAATATAAGAATCAAAATCTAAGAGTCAGGAAATGAGGGTCAGAAAGAGTTAGGTTTGAACCCTCCCCCTCCCGCGCCTCGTGGACAATTAGCATTGAATAATTAAAAATAATAACAATCAGATCGATAAACGATCTTAGATTTTAAGATCAATTTTAGTACTGAAAAATTCGGACATTCCGGTCTTATGATTCGGACATATCGATCTTAGAATAAGACCGGAGTTCTTGCAGTGTACTGAGTCCGTTTCGATTAAAGGTCAATCCGCAGCCAAGGATAAATTCGTCGATGTTTGATGAACGAATACTGGACTGATTTTTAGCCGTATTGCATATATCGGCAAACTCTGCATAGGGAAGGGCTTAAAATCCTTGTTGCTCCATTGAATGCGTAGATCTCAAGGTCATGTATCGTATAGATACACGTGTGAAACTCGAATGAAAAATCCCCACGAAGCACCAACTTTTTTTGAAAAACATAACGAGGAAAACAAAATTTCAAAAAATAGATACTGATGATCAGATCAACACAA